ATATATATATGAAATTTACTAGCATTGTACCCATCAAAAATGATGAAATTATTTGTTTATTGATTCTGTGAGGTCTAGCTAAGATCAAATTTTATTTCACACTTTTGACCAGGGTCAGAATGTAGTGTCTTTGGTCTCCGCGGAAAATGGTTGAATACGATATTTATTTATTATATATATATATATATATATATATATATATATATATATATGTGTGTTTGTGTGAAGGTGCTACCTGACATTTCGAGGAATTTGAACAGCAAACAATGCAGATATAATTATATATTCCGATATAGATTTTATTTAAGGTGAAAAAATATTTTTCTATACTTTTATTGTTATTTATTTCATTTGGCCATTTTTTTCATTTTTTATTATTATTTTTTCACCTTTCCAACTTTTTGTCGTATAGATTGTGGTTAAAATGCCTGACTTTACGGCATAGTTGATAGAAAAAAAAGAGGTGAGGAAAGAGATTCTGACTATTGGCAGTTAGAAAATAAAAAAAGGAGTTCGAAGAAAGGATTAAATTTGTTTTTATATTGTCGTTACCTTTGGTTTGGCTTCTCATTCAGTATTTAATTTTTCCCTATTTTGAGATATAAATGTGAAATAAGCCCTCCTCACAAACCCCACATATATGCGCGCGCGCACACACACACATATTGGCTGCTATATATATATATATATATATATATATATATATATATATATATAAAATATATATATAAAGGCAGTACAAAAGTTAGAAGCCATGCACAGAATTAGCATGGGATTAACTTGACAGAAAAGTGAGAAAGAACTCTTAGAAAAAAGAATGGAATCAATCGATTATCAAATTTATACTTTGAGAATTTTTTGCAACGAATACCAAAGATGTGTGCTGCCGGAAGAAAGGAAGATATTTTCATGAGAGCCAAAGTTAATCATAAAATGCTTTTTTCTTTTTATCATAATAAAAATCGTCTCACTTTTTCTTTTTTTTTTTTTTTTGAATCAAGTATAACAATTTTCTCTTAAAGTACAAAACAATTACTTTTGAGGCCAATTTACAAAATTACCAGATTTCCTCTCAAACTTTTGAACCATATATATATATATATATATATATATATATATATATATATATATATATATATATATATATATATATATATATATAGTTTTTTGTTTTTTTTTTATTTTGTTTTTAGTATCTCCTCGACCTTAATTTTGTTTGTTTCAGGTCTTTTGACAGTTCGTCACGCCAACATTTTCGAATTTTGTGTGTGTGTAAAAAAAATTCAGGTATAAATCAAATATATCTGTAAAAAGTGTGAATAAAGACGAAAGGAAAATCTTTATTTACTGACTTTGTCAAGGTAAATTTAAAGATTTTATTTGGCAGCATATATTTATAAATAGAAATTTTCAAAAATTTTAGAAGTTCAAAAAATTGCAAAATTTAACGATATATTTTACTTCTGTTTATCCTTTAAAATAAAATCCGTATATTTACTTTGATAAATTCCCTCAGTGGACGAAACGCGGCGGTAAAGAGAAGCTTACCTGTTGTCATTATTCACCAACCTACAGTTTCTCCATTATTTAAATATCGTCTATGCATTTGGTAAAATTCTTGGACATTTTTCAAGCAATATTTCAACCCTTTTTTCCTTGTTAACCTGGCATTAAATTTATGAAGCCGAGCTTCGTACGGCACGGGGTTTAATTGGTGGGGGCTTTGTGAAGAGGACTTGCTTAGAAAATTAACATGCAATATATTTTTTTTCATTATTTCCTAAGATCGACCACCGATACTGGTTTCATATACATCACAATTTACAAAATGCATGCATGTATGACAATGCAAATTGATTGGGTTAATGCATCTCCGATATACAGTTACTACGCGTCTTTACACACACACACACACATATATATATATATATATAAGTTCGAAGAATGCTTGAGCAATGAAATATCATCATGTAGTGTTGATTGCTATGTACAAAATCGCTTTTTCCAATATTGAGTACCATTCCTTCAATTATATTGCAAATTTTAAACACAGATATAAATTAAATAGATTTATAATATTTATTCATTTTTAATATATGTACAAAATGTCGTCCGTTTTTTAAAGCCATTTTATATATACTGATGATATATATGTATAAAATATCGTCCGTTTTTAAAACCATATATATATATATATATATATATATATATATATATATATATATATATATATAGTAACCCGGATATAAGAGATTTTCTCTGGTCCCAAATTAGAGCCTGTGTTAATGTATATAAAATAGACCAAAACCCGGATATGAGACGACTTCTCCGGTCCCGACAACTCTCTTATATCCGGGTTACACTATATATATATATATTGTTTGCGCGTGTGTGTCTTACTTAGCCCTTCGTATTTTATGCATATGTAGACGCACACAGAAACGGGTATATATATATATATATATATATATATATATATATATATATATATATATATATTCAATTATAACATTGTAAATCAAAATCTTTTTTCAACACTGTCACCATAGAATGCCTTTCAGTATCACAATCTATTCTCGAATAACTGTTTTTTTTTTTTTTTTTTTCTAAGTCGTTCGTTCAAGACATTTGTCGGGTTATTAAGGTACCCAGGAAAAGTATCTTGTCTCTTGGTTAACTGCAGTGCACCAATAACCTTGTCATGTCGTTGTCTACATCTAAGATGAATGGCGAGCCGTACAGGTGGGCCCAGAAAGATAAATAGACTGATAGTTGAAGAAAGGTCGGTAGTGCGGCTACGAAGAAAGAAACCCAGTATAAAATAATGATATATATAAAAAGAAAAGAAAAGGTCTCGCCTTAAGAAAAAAAAAAAAACATATATCCAAAGAGATCCTCAGGATGGTGGCGAAACCGGTTTATGAAAACGGGCTTATGATTCGAATGAAATAAACAAAGACTCTTCACTTAATAAAAACGTGAAGCTTCATGAAAATGCCGTGAACATTTTTTTTTTTTTGTCCTGTCTTAATATACCAGGTGAAATATTTTAGGCAAAAAATTGTATAATTCAATAAGGTTATAATCTTACGTTGTGTCCTTGCAGTTAATATTGACTTCACGAAACGAGTTTAAATTTTATTATGAGAAGTGGACATTTTTTTACAGAAACGCACGCCATCCAAATATTATTTCTCTCTCACATAGACACACGTCATTGTGGTTGGCACTCAGTGAGGAACAAACTCAATAGTTTAATAAGTCCTCTAGTATGCTATAACTTGGTAGCTATATATATATATATATATATATATATATATATATATATATATATATATATATATATATATATATGTGTGTACGCGTATGTATATGTATATATTCGATATGCGTATATTAAAATTATTAGAATTATATATCGTTCCTAAATATGTTAGGATGAAGTTAATAAAATATTTTTCTACGGTATTGATAACATTAGTGTTAATAATAATAAAAATAGTTGAAAGTAGTCGAACGAAAAATACAAAACCTTTATGAAGTTTGGACAGTTTTTACCTAAACTTGATACTGATGTGCGACAACTATACAACAAATAAAACAAAATAATCTAACAGACCTTGTCGTTGAATTTCAGATAAAGCATGTTTGATTACACACACACACATATATATATATATATATATATATATATATATATATATATATATATCCGAGAAAGACAGAGAGCGGGTACATGCTGTGAGAATGCGTAAAAATTACCCAATAATTTAGGCGTCTCGCGGTGCGGTAAAGGTTAACGAACCAAACTAAATTCTTTACTCGTCTAGTGCTTTAATGCTAAGTGCTTTCAAAATTGTGGCCTTGTGTCGCACTAAGTTTGGTTTGCTAAGCTTGATTGAATTTTACGTCATGTCAATCATTTGGGTAATTAACGTGAAATTTTATTTGTGGCACTCAGTGAGGGCGAAGTCCAATAATGCGCAACCAGTTTAGCCTCGATATCCATTACTCCCAACCATATATATATATATATATATATAAAATCTATGTATAATCACATATGTGAATGATTGCTTTGTAGAGTGAGGTGCTTAGCAAGTTAATCTTGCAGACCACTGCTGATACAGAGAGATCAGTATCCTCATTGGGTACCCAACCGTCGTAACGCTGTAACTGTTCAAGCAAAAGCGTTAAAGTACTTGAGATCAAGCTATGGTTAGTAAAAGCCAGTAGCAGAAACATATATATATATATATATATATATATATATATATATATATATATATATATATAATGTTATGATATATAATTATTTTTTATATGAGAATAATTTTATGAACATGACAAAGTGGGAAAAAATTAATGACAAAACAAAGAAAAAGAAACTCAATTAAATCGGCTACACTATATAACCAAACACATACTTAAAAGATAAAGTAAAATTTGAAATGTCAGTGTCCGCTCTCCTTCATAAGTATATGTAATCCCATCAATGTAAACATTAGTCCGATGATGTCTTAAATGACGAAACGCGTCGCACGAAAGATTTTACAATTTGTCATATATATATATATATATATATATATATATATATAACACACACACATATATATATATATGTGTATGGTGTATGCAGGAGCTAGTTATTTGCGACAGTAATTTCTACAATCAGAGAAAAAAAACGAAAATATTTGTCCTTGTCTGAAAGAACCTATTTCGAAGATTTCCTTGGTTTTGGTTACGGACCAATACTTACATTTGGACGGTCTCATTGTGAAATGTTTACTGCAAAAACGTTATCTGGCATTTTCTTTAGTAAACAATGAGTTGTTTTTTGTTTTTTTTTTTGTTAGGGGGGGGTCTTGTAGAACCCAATAGGTATATGTACTTACCAGTTGGAATATGTATGCATGTATATATATGTAGGTGTGCTTAATATTGTTTACATTTTATCGTAAAATATTTCTTTTTAGAAATATTCTTCGTCATATTTATAGAGATTTTTTCTATAATTCTTTCTCTCTCTCTCTCTCTCTCTCTCTGCTATATTGCTTTATTTCTCTTTCCTCTCTTTATATTTGTTCTTCATTTCTTCGTCTCATTTTGTGTTTCTCTCACTCTAACTCTCTCAACCTCGCCGTGTCATTCTCTCTACCTCTGCGTGTGCGCATCACTCTCTATTCATCTATGCTTTACTTTTATTTTTATAATAGTAAGCAATTCCATTGCTTACTATAATATTGGGTCATTTTTCATTAAAATTTTTATAGACTAGACACTTAAGCAGTCATTTACAATTTCTGTTTGTATTAAACAGCGTGAAAATGCACATTGCATTAAGGTTGAAAGTGACTTTGTTCTGAAAAAAATGATGCCTCGTGCAGAAAAAAAAGAATTGTCTTTCTGTTTTCTTCTTTATTGGGTACATTACCACGTTTCTATGCTTAAAAATCGTATTTTTCAGTTTACTAACAAGGACAATTATTGACAAATTTCTTTCTGAAAGGATATTTTATAGATTTCAGTATGTATACTTTAGGTTAGACACAAGGTGACGAGTTGAGGTACACAGTGTAGACAGAATTAGCTAAAGTAATCGTAGCCTATAGAGATTAGCCTGCTAACCTTTACTCCATGGTGATCTCTTGTGTGTGCATATATATAATGTGTGTGTGTGTATTCGACTTTCAAGCAGATCAGTTCCAAGGAACCGACAACCCGACACCAGTACCTGAGATTTGATTATAGTGGTGAAGGTTTTGTGCAGGACCATCCACACTTTTTGAAGGGCCGAATACAGAATACGTGCCACAAGGTCCCCAAACGACCCTTCGCAGGTTTTGAAATCAGAGTTGTTCTTCTCTTATACCAGATGCCATCCAGTCTGTCCTGCTAATAAACCCATTGCTGGAGAGAGAAGAAGAGGATTCATACCTCTCTTAAGGGTATTAGTACGTCAAGTGAATGTAATGGATTCGACTGGAATTAGAACTCTGCTCTCCGACTCCTCAATCCAAGCCGCTATCCATTACTCCTCTCTCTCTCTCTCTCTCTCTATATATATATATATATATATATATATATATATATACACACACACACACACACACTCTGAGTGGTTAGAACGTCCGCCTTCCGACCACGAGACCGGTTTTCGAATGTCATCATGAATGTGGCTTCTTGCTGTTATCGGCCGAGAGAGCCGATCTCAGCTTTCGGCCCCGTTGGAAAGTGTCTTAAAAACCTTATCCCCCGGGGTTGATCCAAGCATTGCGAGTGAAAGTGGGTTGCCGGAACTGATCGAGAACCGTCGGTGGTTGTACAAGTACGAAGTTACAAGTCATCGTGACCGAGTGTTTGAGCGTGCTGGCCTTGTTCAGACTGTTGATCCCGCCAGATAATGCGATTTCTCACAGAATCTGCAACTGAAATCCGCTCAGTATAAGTGCAGTATATACCACGGGGATAGGGTGGTCATTGTGGGTGTTGAACAAACACAAGTGTGCCTGAACAGGTGTCTACAAAGATTTGGCTAGCCGCCCTATTAGACAGGCATACTCGGTCAGCCATTTTATATATATATATATATATATATATATATAATGAAAATAGTGACAAAATGTATTTAAATATTTAAAGTCTTGTATCTACAATTCCGTGTATTTTTAATACGTGCAATCGTTTTAGAAACATTTTACAAATATTCATTAAATTATTTTTAATTAAATTATTATTTTAGTTAACTAAATGTATTCTGAGATAAAGATTTTTGCTGTTTACATTTATTTTTAAAAACATTGATCTCTATTTTAGGGGATCTTTTTGATGATTCTGAGAGAAATGGAAACTCATTAGTTGTTTTTTTTTTTTTTTTTTTTTTTGGCGCTATAAGCTTTTCCCTTCGTCGGGTAATGGTTGGCATTCTGTCGTAAGTTCGGTTTTCATGAGAAGCTCCATACTTTCCATTTTAGTAAACATACATGAAACTCAAATTGAGAATGTACATTCTGTCCTCACCCCCCCCCCACACACACACAGCTGTTGTAGACACCAATTTACTACATATATGAGAATAGGGAAATCGAAACTATACCGAGACATGGACATAACTTTTTAGTTCAAGTTGATGTTCTACCATTAAGTACAAAAAAAAAAGCATTTGCGATATTAAAAATTTTACAAGTGTTTTTATTTTTCGTTTTATTGTATTTTTCTTCATTTTTTTTTCTTTTACTGAATTTTTCGTAAAACACAATTAACTCAATTAACTTGAAGTCTCAAAACTATATCAACGATTACTCCACGGAGTAGTGTTTCTCAGCCTTTTTAAACAACGGCATAGCTAAGCAAATGAAAATATCACGGCACACTTAGCAAATTTTTTAAAGGGTATATATTTAGATGTTATAAAATAAAACCATAGATTTAAAAAAGAAACACACACACAAATATGAACTTTGAATATTAAATGAATATTAAAACAATGTATTTAAAAATAACATAATCGAAGTATAGTGAAAATAATTATTTGAAAAAAAAAATTTAATACATATTCATTTTAACGCTTTACCATTACTATTTACACACACACACACACAAGCCGTGACAACATTGAGCGGCACACTAGTTTTCGCGAGAAAACTAAAAAGCAAGAATTATTTTCTTTTCTTTATTTATTTTGAAAGAATAATGCATAAAGTTTTTTTTTTTTTTTTATTTTTATTTTTTTTTCAGGATTTAGTCTTGAAAATATGAACTTCAGAAATTAATTAATTGAAATTTCTTTTCTAAACAAAAAAATTATGATAATATATACGAAGTTATTTTTTCCGTCATTAAGTCCGATATTAAGAATGATTCTACGCGTTTCTCTTTTGTTAATCATCTATTTTGGGGTTAGTGGGCAAAATTAATCTTTTCTCTTGTTTTCGCTAGATCGGTAGTAATCGCTAACAAATCCAATGTTTTTTTTTTTTTTTTTTTGTATTTTTTTATAAATGTACGAGCTCGCTTCATTGCCACTACCTAAATTTATAAACACATCGCTTACAAGACTAAAAATATCATTCGAAATATCGTAGAAAGGACGCTATAACAAAATATCTTTTAGATTTCCCGCATCTATTCAAGGAAGTATTTTTTAATATCGTATTTGGTTCAGTACACATGCGTACGTTTCGTCAAAAATGAGACGCTTTTTGGAAAATGACGCGAATAATCTTCCATTTTTTTTTTTTTTTTTTTTTTTTTTTTTTAAAGAAGGAAATTTGACTGTACACAAGGGCAAATAATTTGAACAAATCCATCCCATTCTTTTAAATTACTACTTCTATCTAGCATAATGCTCATTAAAAACTGGCAGGGTTATTGGCGCAAAGTTATTGGTCAATATGTAGTTCCTGTGCATTACACACAGAATGATCTCGTGCCATGTAACATGCATGATGTGCCACATAGTCACCCAGCAGTTCAACATACTTCCTTTATCAAGTTTCTTAAAACGTTCAAAAAAAAAAAAAAAAATGAAATAATAATAATCAAATTGCAAAAATAATTGTTTAGTGATTTTTCTTTTTCTTTTTTTTTTTTTTTGGGAGGTGGGTATGGTCAAGAATTTTCAGCACGTCTTATATTAAAATAAAGGTAAATTTTATAATATATATTAAAAAACTGATTTTATTACTATAAAGTTTATTTTTAGTGAGTACATGTGTTTGAGATGCTAGTTAATAAAATAAAAGAAGAAAAAGAAAACAGAGGTAGCCATTCAAACCAGAGGACCCACTAAAAATAACCTTTTATAGTAATAACAAAAATAATAGCGACTAAAAAAATATTATTGCTTACGTATCGGATACGAAACTGAAGCTATCAGATATGGAATCCTAACAAAATAAAAAAAAAAAAAAAAACCGTCTTTCGTTAATAGGTTTATTCAAATCTTACTGTCAGTGTGGCTATCTGTCCGAACAGGTAGAGGCACACTTTAGCTCAAAATGTGGTTCCTCTTTTAAAGCCTGTTGCTTTCACTGAATAATAATAATAATAATAAAACGGGGATAGCAACACAAACACGTTTACTTACTAAAAATAATATTTATAGTAATAAAATAACGTCGGATAAAACAATCCTTTCAAACATTAAGAACTGAATTAACAAAATCGGAGTTCACAGGCCCGAAACAATTTTTTTTTCTACGACGGTAATAATTAGCAAATAAAATCTAATATCTCTAGTAAAAAGGCATGTCTTTGTAACTAGATAAAGTTCTGTGAAAGGCAGACTTTCTGATAAATACGCAGGTAGACTGCACGTACATGTGGTAACAGAGGAAAGATCGAAACGAATTAACAAATATTTTTATAGGTAATGTAAAAACCTGTTGATTAAACACCATATTTTGTAATATCAGACATATTTATTTTAGCAAGGCTCAACAGTCAACCTGTGTTATGCTTTGAAAGTAAAAAAAACGTTATTTTTAGTGTGTCAAAAATAAATGCAAGTGTAAGTTTAGTATAGAAATGCATTGCGTGGTCAAGCATTAAAACCAGTATTACTGACAGAATAAGAATGGTATATGTATAGATGTATTATTATTGATTTTAATATACATAAAATCATAGAAAGTAATTTTACTATAAGAATACATTTTAAATGATTCAGCTATCGGACTATTTTGTAAATGATTCTGCGTATTGAAGTTGATTTTAGTAAATGAATTGTATTGGAAATTGAGAAGAAAGTGATTATCACCCACCAGGATGCTGACAAAACAAACAATTATATGAAGCAAAGCGTTGCTAATTTTCGGTATGAAATCATGTAGTGTTATTTCGTAGGAAGTTATTGTTCAGGTAATCCCACCCTCTGCTACAACCAATTTCTAGAATTTACTCTGTAAATATATTTAATAATTAGAATGAATAGAAGTTTGGATGTGTTTCATTCCCTTTTTTCACTGTGATACCACACCTTACAGAAACAGCGATTTTAAATAATATATATGTTCAAAACCAAGACAGACGTCATATTCTAAAAAATATAAAACGTGTTGTCAGTCTTAACTTTTTGAGTTTTGTCGTAAGTTCAAAATTTGACCAATTATTATATAAAAAATGTTATATATATATATATATATATATATATATATATATATATATATATATATATGTGTGTGTGTATATTTAAAATAAGCTATACAATCACTC